CAGATGATGGCACAGAGGAATACGACGTTATAAAAAGCTTATTTTCGAAAAACGTACTCGCTCCGTTAGGTCTACGTTTCTAACGTCGTTTGCATGCATTCGCAAATGAGCTCTGTTGTTGTGGAGCGTCGTCCACAGCAGCTGCTAGGCTCGTGCGCGCGCATCCGGGGACGCGTTACGCCACGGTGGTTTGGAAATCGCTGAAGCTGTGCTGGACTGTTTCCGAATTAAGGAATATCCAAGGTTTCTTGCAGTCTTGATCTTAAATTTGATACATATTTAAATATAATGCTTGCACGAATGCAGAATGAATTTAAAATAAGTTTATATCAATTATACTTCAAGCCATTTGTAATGACCGCGTGACATTGTGCGTGGACTGACGTCTCGAAAATTGACCGAGAACGTGGTTTAGAATCTCAGTCGTAGTCTCGGAGGTGTCCGCGTATTTGGGTGTCGTTCGTAATCTGACGTGAGAAAAGAACATCTTATGGACCCGTATTTGTCTGTCGCGTTGTTCCTACGTGGTCCGGAGTTATTTTTGTGCAACAGTAGCCTTAATTACATTCGTGCAGCAATGGTCTATGCGTAGTGGAACGTCTGGAATGTTATTGTACTCCAAAGAGTACATTTTTTCCAATCTTGTTATGCGCTGTGCTGTCTGTGACGATGGTTAGATGCTCCGTTCAAGGAGTATTGCTAAATGTATAAAAGATTCGTAGTTTCAGAAGTAAATTTTAAAAGGAGAAGAAAATATAAATCATTTTATACGTAGGTCATACGTAAATTTTAATTTGTGGGTAAAATAATGACTTTCATCTCAAGACTTTTCAAAGGTGGTTAATTAAGAAAAATTGGCGAATTTTCGAGTTCTGCTAGTGTGACACTATAATTTTAGGAACATAAAAATGTTACTATATAACACAACTGTTGCATTTTATTACGCGTTATTTGCACGAAGTGCGTGGCAAGAACGCATTATAGTCTAGTCGTGTCCGTCCGTGTGTCCAATCAACTCGAGAACCACTGGACGGATTTGGTTGAAATTCGATGTGGAGGTCGTGCCGTTCTGCACGACCTCAAGATCATACTTTTGAATGTCCTAGGAGCGGTGATAACTAAATGGCGGACGAGGAAAGTCGTGAGGCAGGCATTGAGGTGCTGCGATCTGGTAGCCAAAGTGGGAACTATAGAACAAGTCTGACGTAAGATCTCTAAATACTCTTTGGGGAGGGGGGAAACGCATGAGGATATTGTGTGTTTCGATACAAAATTCTCTTTCCGAGCTTGTTATTATTGTTATTATACCTTAACATTGTTGGAGGATTTAATAATATTGCAT